TTTATATTATTTTAGTTTGAGATTAATTCCTGTATTATATATAATAAATAATAGCGGTTTTTGTATATAAAAGTATCTTGTAATTTTTTAATATTTTTTTTATAATTATCTATGTTAGCTTGGGAAAGAGGTATTTCTTTTAGGAATTCTGGGGAGGCAGCTTTGCTTCAGTTTATAAATATTTCTGGCCAAAAAATTGTCAGAAACCTCTCGTTTAAATATTTATTTTTTATTAAATATCGTAAACAAGGAAAATTTAATTAATTTTTATTTAGTTTTTCCTGTATCCTTACTTTTTTCTGTTTCGTAGGAGTTTAGACAGTACAAAAATTTCCATAATTTTAATTGTCCCAAGCGCTTTCGCCCACTTTAGACATATTCAATGACTTTTTTTTTTTTTTTGTTGTTGTTGTTGTTAGTTTTTACTCATTTTTGAACTGTTAAAGTTGTATTTTATTTTTTGTGGTTTCGAGAAGGAGCGTTCATTCCGAGCCGTGGCATGTTGAACTAATATATATATATATATATATATATGAAGAAATATAGTTTTAATGTGTGCTATATTTATGGGATAAAGTGCTCAATATCAAAAATAGAGTGTATGTAAATATAAATATAAAAGTGAACATTAAAGTCAACACTCAGAGGCGACAGGCTGTTTCATGTTTTCATTTCAGGCGGCCTGACGATTGCGTCCAGCATTTTATAGATACACATATTTAAGTAAATGCTCTGTTTATAATAAATCGTATTAACAACATTGACCGGCCTGAATGTCCGAGAATTTCATAGAAAGTATTTGTCCTCCGAACCTGTATCCTACACGCAACGCGCTATACAATTTAGCTACAGAGGAAGAAAGCTTCGAGAGAAATCATGGGAAATTTTTAGTTTAAAAGAAGTAATTCTACCTTACAAACAAGACGCTTTCCAATTTTAAGACAGAAGGGTTGTTGTAGGAAGTGTACACCGAAGATGCGATTTACGAATTTGGGACGGAAAAAATCCGAACATTCATTGGGATAGCAAAAGATGTCTTTCAAAAACTAAGTAAAATATTAAGAAACTGAAACGTTTCGTTAGAAACAAAGCAAATAGCACTAAAATGTTACATCAGTCCTTCTATATGACAGCGAAAGATGGACAATCTACTCACAAATAATGAAGGGACTTGGGGGTAACATAAATGTGGCTCTACAGAAGGATGGTGAGAATACGATGGGTCGAACATCTGAGCAACGACGGACTTCTGGAGACAATGGCAACAAAAAGACACACTTAACATTAAAAAAAACACAGTCGAGGTTTCAATGAGGAAAGAGGGCTACGAAAATTTGATATTCACAGGTCAGATTAAAGGCAGAGAAAAATAACGCATAACTTACCTAGCAAATTTCGGTAGATGGACGGCAGAACAGGGTTTAGGAACAAAAAGAAAAAAATATAAATAGCTTCGAAGGACAGGAAATTGGGGAGAGCCCTTATCGTCATCGTCCTGAATGTACACAGCACATAGAAGAAAAAAAATGAATATTTTCTGTTTCTTAATACTCTGGTTAGATTTTGAAAGGCATCATTCGTTGTTCTAATGTGGCTTCAGATTTAAAGCGGTATAAGATAAGGCTGAGTCTTCTCACCAGAATTATTCAACCTATACAGCGAGGCAATTCTGAGAAAATTAGATGTCCTACCATGATTCAATGTTGGCAGCCACAATCTTAAAAACATATGATATGCAGATGACACCGTATTTATTGCAGACGCGAAAAGAAAACTACAATAGCTTCTACAGAAGGCAGTGTAGAAAAGCATGAAGACAGGAGATATAATGCATAATTGTTAGCAAAAGGGATGAGCCGAAAATGCCAATTAGAAAACAGAGATATCAAAATCAAATAAATATAAACATTTTAATATCTGGAAAGTGTTCTAATAGCCAAAGATGCATTCCAAAATCTAAGCAGAGTATTCAGAGACAGGAAAACTTCGTTACTGTTGTGGATTCCGGGATGAAATCCGGTCTCAAATGAATGACAAATGCAGGAATGAAATATAGCAAATAAATGTATTGACGTAATAATACAATTGGTAATACAGTTAGTAGATCCAAAAATGCGGTTAGTAGCAATAATAATATATATATACAGTCTGGGAAATTCAGTATCAAAGTATGACTTCCTTCTGAGTCTACGTGCTCGCAACTGTGATTCCTACAAGACGGTTACCTCACTCTCTCACTTTCTCACCCCCGGGTATTCACCGGCAGCAGTACAAGTACACAACTGGGCGAGTCCACTTGTATAAAAAGGGGTGGACCCCTTAGTTAGAAACAAAGAAAGGAGTACTGAACTGTTACGTGATATGTGTCCTCCTGTATAACAGTAAATGCTGGACAATCTCCTCAAAGATGAAGAAGAGATTGAAAGCAACAGAAATGTGGTTCTACACAAAGATGCTGAACGTATGTGCAACGACGAAGTTTTAGAGAACATGGAAACAAAAAGGACACACACTTAACATCAGAAAGTGAGTTGGAATTTCTGGGACACGTAATGATGAAGGAGGGCTTCGAAAATCTAATTCTCACAGGACAGATTGCGGGCAAGAAGGACAGATGAAAACAACGCATAACATACTTAATGAATTTGAGTAAATGGATGGCGGAACAGCGTTTGGGAGAAATGACAAAATATATTAAGAGCTACAAAGAACAGGAAATTGTGGAGAGCTATGATCGCTTACGTCCTGAGAATACACGGCACATGAAGAAGAAGAATTTTCAGGCGTTTATTAAACACTTTTAAGATATTCTGTACTCGCATCTTGGAAAACACCATTTGACATTACCGTACATTCTGTCTTTTTACAATTAGTAGTTAGTCCTTTTTTCGTGTTCTCAGTTAATAGATTGCCTAGCAGAGGGCACCTCGGCGCGGTGTAATGGTTAGCAAGCTTGTCTCGCTAGATCAGTTACGACTGAAAAGTGAATTCGATCCTCACTAGGTGTCCCTTACTTTAGACCTTGTGCCACTTCTAAGCTACGCTTAGAAAATAACTATATTGCCTAGCAGATCTAGTATTTCGGCTCATTTTTCATTCCTATATCGGTGGACTTATGTTATTATTTCATATTTCCGTCTGTGTGTGTGTGTTTTTTTTTGTTTATTTCGAAATGAAAACATTGCAAGTTGTGCAGGATTAGATTACACCAATAGCAGGGAGTGATGGCTTCCCGCTTTTCCCAAAGCAAAGAAAATGCGCATCACCTCAATCGAACTTTGAACTCGTTTAGCCGAGTCTGTTTTCCGTGCTATTAACATTAGTCAATTCCATTGTCTCTTAAAGAACGAGAAATATAGACACACATATATAAAAAGAAAAGTGCTGGAAAATTAAACAGAAAGAAAAAAAGAAACAGTTCAAAGTCTCACCGTCCCATTGCTTTGTTCACATGTTTAGTCGTATCAACGTAAATTTCAATTTTGTCTGATGAAGTCCTAAATGACGAAAGGCGTCAAGCGAATTTTTTTTTTACATTGTCAAACGTTTTCCATAAAATTGTCCTTGATATAAAAAAATTGCAAATTTGTTTTTCAACACATATTATTTATATTTATCTAGTTAATTATTTTTATCTATCTATTTATCAATCTATAGATAAGTATATTTTGTCAGCAACTTTTCTTTCAAACATCTTTCATTGAATATGGCCGCATCGGAAGATTGAATTACATTTTTATTAGGTTTTTCCAGCATCCTAACAATTTTCCCTTTTGTAGTAGTTAAGGAATATCAAAATTGTCCATAATTTTTATTGTCTCAATCGCTTTCGGATACTTCTAAAGCTATTTTCATAATTTACAACGCAACAGTCAAAACACGAGGTAAAAATAACAACACCAGAAACAAAACACCCTTGAAAATAGCTATCGATGGTCTCTCGCTCAACTGCGCCTCGCGCATAATAATCAAGGGGATTGCCGTCTGTGGTGTTAGGTGGCCAGATTTAAGGTGTGATGTGGTCGCAGAAATTGTCTGACAACCATGCCTGGGTTCCTCTACTTGTGTAGCATGGAGCAGAGCACTGTTGCCATACATAGGTTCTTCCAGCAGTCCCCCTCTTGAAATATCCTAGGTACCACGATCTCTCTTGTTATGGGCCTGATTGTCTTGGCGGGATCGTTTTCAAGCATGATCTGGATTTTCTTATCAGAACGATCTGAGTGAGTTTTTCCGAACTACTGTACCTTCGTGATCACCATTAGACTCATCCAACTTTTTCCGAATCCTCTGCCCTGTCAGATTCCCTGATTTACACTCTGAAATATTCATATTGGAGCTTCCAGCGCTGTCTGTACAGCTTGCCTTTCCCAAATTTTTGGCAGATTAAATTGCGTCATGTTGCTTATTTTCTTACAGATGGTGCTTAATTGACCTGCTATAATATGCAGTCGATAAAATCAAAAATAAACAACGCGCTTGCGCGAAATTGAAAATATAAAATGGCGACAATTTACCCATCGCGATCTATATTGTGTTTGGTTTAAAAAAAAAAAAACGTCGGAGAAAGAAAGAAAGCTATGAACAAAAGAATGAAACCTATGAATAGAAAGGGACAAATATAAAGATACAACAAGGAAGAAAGAGAAAATTCGCGATTTTTATCTATAGCTGTTCAAATGAACTAAAAGTGACCGAGAAAAAAATAATATAAATAAAGAATGGAATAGATTTGCGAAAGTCTTCGGTACAATGAACAGGTTTTCACTCTGAAATCTCCCAACTAAAGTTACTTTGTTCTAAGTAGTTTTCTTAAAAGTTGAGAGTTGCACAGTCTTTTAATTCTGGATGGACATCGCTTCACATGATCCGTTCACATCAGAAGATTATTTCCCAGCCCAAAAGCATTAACGAAAATCACGAAAGCATACTAAGCACGATTTGATGAATGAAAATAAAAATGTACATAGCTTTATGAACAAGACATGTTTCTGTCACTCTCACCTAATAGATAGATAGATAGATAGATAGATAGATAGATAGATACGAAATAAACTAAGATAAGGAATGATTACATAGATAGATAGATAGATAGATAGATAGATACGAAATAAACTGAGATAAGGAATGATTACACATAGATAGATAGATAGATACGAAATAAACTGAGATAAGGAATGATTACACATAGATAGATAGATAGATAGATACGAAATAAACTGAGATAAGGAATGATTACACATAGATAGATAGATAGATAGATACGAAATAAACTGAGATAAGGAATGATTACACATAGATAGATAGATAGTTAGATAGATACGAAATAAACTGAGATAAGGAATGATTACACATAGATAGATAGATAGATAGATAGATAGATAGATAGATACGAAATAAACTGAGATAAGGAATGATTACACATAGATAGATAGATAGATAGATACGAAATAAACTGAGATAAGGAATGATTACACATAGATAAATAGATAGATAGATACGAAATAAACTGAGATAAGGAATGATTACACATAGATAGATAGATAGATAGATACGAAATAAACTGAGATAAGGAATGATTACACATAGATAGATACGAAATAAACTGAGATAAGGAATGATTACACATAGATAGATAGATACGAAATAAACTGAGATAAGGAATGATTACACATAATAGATAGATACGAAATAAACTGAGATAAGGAATGATTACACATAGATAGATAGATACGAAATAAACTGAGGTAAGGAATGATTACACATAGATAGATAGATAGATAGATACGAAATAAACTGAGGTAAGGAATGATTACACATAGATAGATAGATAGATAGATAGATACGAAATAAACTGAGATAAGGAATGATTACACATAGATAGATAGATAGATACGAAATAAACTGAGATAAGGAATGATTACACATAGATAGATAGATAGATACGAAATAAACTGAGATAAGGAATGATTACACATAGATAGATAGATAGATAGATAGATATTTTTAAAGTCATAAGTTTTAAATCTTTACTTTTTATCATGTATATTATATAGATTTTATACTAAAAGGCGTGTATGGATATCCATGGACACTGAACGTCTTACAGGGACACGTCACATAGCAGAAGAAGGAGGACTCGGGCAGCAAACCTTCATTAATAATAGTTCGATTAATATCAACTGTATCTGTCAATATTTCTGAGATGGGGTATTTAATTATTTACCCTATTTCCATTGTCCGGACTGTCGTCCTCCTCTTTATTGCTATATTCACCATGTTTCAGTCGTTGTACGCCCCGATCTTCTTCAAGTGATTGGAATTTCGAAATGACAAACACCTGAAGAAGATCGGGGCGTACAAAGGCAGAAACATTATGAATATGGCCACACAAAGGAGGACAACAGTCCGAATAATGTAAATAGTGTAAATAAAAATTACAGATATATATGTTTGAAGATTGTAGATCAGTGATTAGGGGTTAGTTTTCACCAGCTAGATTCAGCTATTCAGTATCCAGTTTATTGTAGATTTTTCTTCAATACGACGAACCAGCTTCTCTGAAATAGTACGCCCTTGTTATATATATATATATATATATATATATATATATATGCAATTTTTATTAAAGGTGACTTACAACTATAAGTGTTTTCTTTTCTGGATAAATATAGCGTGTGAAAATTGTCCAGGTTCTATATATCCGAGCGTGTTCGGCTATTCTGTTCGACATTATATATATATATATATATATATATATATATATATATATATATATATATATATATATACCTGTGTGTGTGTGTATTTAGGTAGCAATCCTTCATTCATGAAACATTGAATACGATAGGCAAGATGCTTTGATATATTTTTTTTATACAAATTCTTATGTGATCTAATTTTTTTTTCTTTTGGGATGATAAATTATATTAAAACTGCCCGACTGTAAATGTATAGCCGAAAGCGCCCAGATAAAAAGATCATTCGGACAGTTTTTATATAATTTATCATCCGAAAAGAAGAAATTATTAGATCTCATGAGAAATTCTATAAAAACCTAAATCAAAGCACCTTGTTTGTTCAATGAAATGTATATATATATATATATATATATATATATATATATTATTATATATTATTATTATTATATATATTATTACCATTTTTTTTAAAAATATGATTCTATTTTACATAGTCTATCTATCTTATAAAAATTAAACTCAAAATATATTTATATATATATATATATATATACTTATCGAGACAGAACATTCCAGTGAACAGATATATTCCCATCTAAGTAAAGAGATATATACTTTTTATTTCGTCAGAAACACTTATTTTTTTATTATGCATTCATGTCTGTCTGCAAACGTTTGCATGTATGCTTCTATGTTTCAATTCATGTTGTGCCGAAAAAAATATGATACACGCATGCGCAATCTAAGCATTCCTTTATTTTTGTTCCTTTTTATACCAGGCGTTTACCCTTGTTTTCAATATTAATTAACTACTCCAAGCTGCTTGTTAAAAAAATTGATGGCAGATGCAGGTCGGAGGTCGCCGAGGCGTTAAAATCGCTCGTGCTTTTGTATCGGCCAAAGCACTTAGCGTTCGGCACGCTTGGGATGTTTGCAGTCGGCCGTCAGAGATACACTTGCCTGATTAGCATAATGGCAGGATTTGTCAAGCCATGTCCGTGGATCAGGAACTGTTGAATGCCGTGCATGCGTCGACACGTCCCTGCACAGCGCAAGGCAAAGCAAGAGATTTTCAAAATGGAATACTCATTCGTCGTCCGTCACTTGGCAAATCCTATAAGAGGAAAAGTGAAGTAGCTTGAAATCGTCCTAAAGCTATTCCTTTCGGGACAAATGATGTCGGGAAAAAAAAGATACTCGATGAAATTAAAATATAAATATAAAAGAAAATAATAATTTACAAGTAACGGAAGTTGGTTGAAAACATTAAAAAAGAAGAATTGAGAATTAGCTAATAAATGATAGCGCGTAATCTTCATCTGCTCTGTAATATGTTTTGCTAATGGAAGATTTTTATGCGAGAAAGAAAGAAATCAAGAAGAGATTGTATTGAATGAATCCAGATGGATCAAAAATTATTCTTATTTTTATTAACTCTTTCTATACGATTCTTTAATCTGTTTTTGTTATTAATTTAATTCTCATTGTTTAACCTTTATTTACTTTAACTAGTATTTCTTTCATCTTAATTTCCGTGTCTCTCACATCGCATCTATTCGGACCGCCATTTTATTTTATTTTTTATTACGTGATAAAGCATTATCAAGCATTATTGATTTTTTACTATTTCTTTCATTTTAATTTTACTTGCTTTAATTCGCAGCAACTCCCACTCATTCATTTATTATTAAATGGAGCATTATGAAGCATTATTAATTTTTAACTAATATTCCTTTTATTTTAGTTTGCTTTAAATATTAGTTATTCATACATTATTCCTATTATTTATTATTAGATCAAGCATTATCAACCATTATTAATTTTCTCTTTATTATTTTTTTTCTTATTAGACAATGGAATTAATAAATTCTAAACACCTTAAATATCTCGGTGTATGGATCAGTTTTGAAAATTTTTTTGTAAAACGCTATGGAAACTACTGCGTTTGGAGTATTTGTTTTCAAACACCGCGAGATGTCATCTTCATAAAGAAATTCATTATCACATCTGAACTTTCGTATTTATATCATGTCCAATTCGTTCAGAAATGTCTATAGAATCAGCTATATAGAACCGTTTTCGCAATGATTCATTGTCATTTTGTTATTATTAAATGAATCATTATCAACTATTTCTTTTCTATTTTAACTGGTAGGTATTTCTTCATCTTAATTTCACTTGATTTTCAGATCACAGCAAAATAAGAAATAAGACTTGATGATTCTAACAGCTTTTGCTATATAATTGCTTAATATTACTGTAAGTTTTGCTACTGGAAACAAAATGGATTAGAGTTCGAACATCAGCGCGATCATACACTTGGTTTTTGATAAACACTGTTTTGTTCATGGCTGACTGCACTCCGTTTGAGAAATTAAAATGACATTAAAACGAATACAACTGGTTTAAATAAAACCACAGAAACTAAGATGGCGGAAATATGTCAAAAATTTAAAATATTTGACAACCTAATTTTCAAAAGATCAAGATAACAGCACTACTGCTAATAGTACTACATTTCTTTTGTATGCCACGTGCATTCAATACATGGATGATCATGGCTCTCTTCAACTTCCTAATATTTTTCTCTAAGTAGTTTTTAAGCTTCACCGTCCCTCTTCGACTTTGTTTTATTATCCTTTCACTGAAACTCATTAAATAGTTTACACACTGTTCTCTTTGCTTGTAATTCCCTCAATCAATATCTATTGGTCATGTTAAATTCCGCTTTCCTTCTTATACGTTTCCTCTTTGCTTAGCTCTTTCTTATTTTAAGTATAAGTTCCTTTCTGGTTCAATTTTTTATAAAAACTTCCTTGTTACTTCCACTCACGCTATACTCGGCATCCCTGTTGCTTCAAATCTCTCCTTCATATATGAGTGGAGATGGTCAGAAATTCACTGATCAAATATTACATAGTAATTCAGTACTCCATTGTTTTTAAGTACATTTTCCTATTACCTAATATTTTTATTACTTTCTGGAAAGTTTCTTCGGCTAACCCCCTAAGTGTATCTAAAAACAAAATATGGCGCCGCTGAGTGATTAAAAGAAGATAAGAAATAACTCTCAGCAGATGAATGTGTCCATCTGCAGCTGCTCCTTTTATGTTTTTTTTCTTTTTTTTTTTTTTTTTTTTTTGCAGATTAGATCAACTGCCGTCAATGGTTAGCTTATCTGAGATTAAAAGAAGGCAAGATCAAGCCTCGCCACGAGCGTGATCTTTATAACTGATCAATATGTTTCATTACTGATATTGGAATGACGTTAAAAGTTGCGACAAAAAAGTAATTAAAATAAAAATAAATCTATTCTTCAATAATTAATACTTCATCTTTTAAAAATGTCTACATTACTAAGAGAATGTTCATCCGACGAACAGTATGGAACGATAGTGGGCAACTGTTCGAGAACTGGCGTTAAGGCATGGACGTTTACTCGCCAGCTGATATGACGCCAGGTTTTCGGACGCTAGAAAAATATGTTGATTAGTTCATCATTCAAAAGTAGAACTTTGAAAAGTTTTGAGATTGCAACTTTATTGAAAATAATATTTCAGTGAAGAACACCCCCCCACCATTCCAAATAATTTGCACCAATTACAGGTTGCGATGGATAAATTGTCGTCTAAATTACGCAAAAATTAAAATACTCTGACATCTCCTCTTATCAGATATATTTACCAAAATTACACAAAAATACCTTGACATACTAATGAGTAAATTTATTCAATAAAATCGCCATTGGTTTCCACTACGGCCTCCAGAAAATTTTGGAATCTCCTGCAACTCTTCTGGACGGTCACGTTTTTTAAGTTGTTGAATGCTGCTATAATCCTTGCCTTCAGTTCATCTTTGGTGTTACAAGAAGTTTTGTTGGTCTCTCGCTCACCTGCGCTCCACATAATGATCAACGTGGTTGCAGTCTAGGGATTTAAGTGGCCATATGTAAGGAGTGGGTGGTCGCCATGACCTGGGTCTCCCGTTTGCGTGACATGATGCAGAGTCCTGTTGCCAGACATAGTGCCTTCCAACAGTCACCATCTTGATCCTAACCAGCACTACCTTCTGAAGGTACTTCATGTAGGCCTCCGAGTTGAGTCTGAGGCTTTTTGGGAAGATGAATGGAGACATAACGTCGCCATCACGAGTAATCACTCCAAACACCTTTTTAGTCACCATTGGACTCATACAACTCTTTCCGAATCTTCTGCATCCAAACACTCCGAAATGTTTGTATTGGAGCTTCCTGCGCGAATGCCAAGCAAGAGAAAATGCCGTTTCAAAATTTATGCGTGAGTGAATTGCACCATGG